TTCTCACTCACACAATCGATATTGTTATACGTGAGCCTAGTCGTCTGACAGAGAGGTCACCATTCAACCAATTAAGGGAACCCCACAGGCGAGAGGGTGGCTGGGCGAGGAATGTGCGAAGTAATTACAATTGGACACAAATTGGCTCACCCTAAATTCAGCAATATTTTCCAAATAAATTATCGAAGTGCTAAGACCTCATTTTATCCTTATATACAATAGACTTAGGAATAGAGTTCGGGTTGGAGGCAATGCAAGATAGAAATTTGGAAATTACGTAGGCAGCAGGAATTCGTATAAGCTTGACCCATGAGGACAAATTTGTTCATCGCAGCTGCCGTGCTGACATGGACTGGAGTCAAAACGCCTCCAGAACGTACACAAAGCTTGCGAAAGTACCTATGTTTTCCAATTGCAATGTGTATGATGTAATGTATATATACGCTTGTAATAATGTGCTTCTATGGAAGGTTCATGCGTAGCATGTTGAATATAAATATTATTAAGTTTGTTGGTGTAAATGAAAACATTAAATATTGGTTGTTGGAAAATGATTCCATATTTTTGTTTTCATATTATAAAATCTTTGTAGATTGCTCCAAAGCGTTCATTGCGAAACATGTGTAAGAGCATCTAAACAGAAAGAAAATTCAGTACGGCACTCGGCTCTTACAGTAATAAGGCACGTGCTAATACGCAGATTTTCACCCGTCACATAAACGACGCGCCGAAAGGGGCCTTGCGCAAGGACATGGGGGTGGGCGTTGGGCAAGTCTGGGGTTGCTATAAGAGCCGAGTGCCCGTACTGAACTTTCGTTTCTGATTGCAGAAATCGCTCTCGACTCAAAGCATGTTAAACCGCTTCTGCAAGAAATTCATACTACAAGTTCAAAAATAGCTACTTTGACTAGACCGAAAAGCCACGAACTGAGAGGCCAGTTGACTTGAATGGCAACCACCTCCCGGAACTGGTTGAAAAGGATTCCAGGTGTTGTACACACGAGCTGAAACAGGAGCTCAATAGCCACCAATACAAAGCAGCTGCCCATTTGCATAGCCCTGGAAACACATGAAGATATGGAGATATGGATAAGTAGTGAGCTGGCTGGTCACAGCCTCTAAATGAGTAAAGATTCATTCCTGAGCTTGTTGACTAAACCGTATTGCTGCAGATCCACTAGAGAAACAGAGGAAAGTCTATTTTCTTCCCGACGGGCTCACCCACACACTTCGTAAGAGGCTCAGAAGAAACTTCAAGCTTGGGATAGCATATTGTGGCCAACCCACCGCATTCACCAGACCTGGCTCCAACGGATTATCACCTGCTCCTGTCGCTGTCAAACCATCTGAAAAATAAGTAGTTCGATGATGTGAATCATCGTGAGTCGTGCATCGACGAGTTTTTCCCCTCGAAACCCTAGGAATTCTATGCAACATCCACAAGTTGTCTGATAACTGGCAATACCTTGTCGATCTGGAGAGGCTCTACAGAGAAGACCATATTTTCTTCAAAGTCATCCTCGATGATTTCGATCCAAGATTGGCCCCAGAAGAACAGCTGAAGAGCTCCACATCGAGACCCATGGAATAGAATGTAATGAGCAGGGTGAAAGGCTGTCCGAGTTTATCATGTCGACCCACACTATTCATGGTAACTCGCAGTTCCAGAAGCCCTCTCATTCCCGATGGCATGGGAGTCACCTGGTGGGTAGTTTATAATGAAATAGATCACATCATCGTCAATCGAAAGTTTTGCCTGACTGACGTCCGCGGCTCTACACGGGGTCAGACCACCGACCGTCTCCTTCGCGCCAGATTCCGCTTTTCAGTGCGTGGAGAGAGAGCTGCGAAGTTCAGGAGACGAAGCCACAGGACTGTCGTCAACTGGGATCACTTCGCCTCGTTGGCGAGTCTGCGGGAAGATTCCGTCAGCGACAACATCGATGATGAATACGACCGGCTCGTTGAACATCTTCACGAGACGACTCTCTTCGAAGACTCTCGAGCTGATACGCCAGCGTGGAATCGCGCGAGCTCATGCAATAACCAGCTAACGTCCAAACTTGCGAAGCTATGCAGAGCGATAAAGGAAGGTCTGAAAGCGAGAGGAGCAGCAGTTTTGTCTGAAGCCGCCGAATCTGGGAAGAGCATTCACAAAGCCCGTGGGAGCTTCGTCAATTATAAGACCAAGATGACTTCCCTTCATAGTCCTGAAGGAACCGTTACTGCATCCCGAAGGGCAATGGAGAAGGTCATAAGATCATATACGACTACTACTGGATCTCTTCGCCAGCCACGTCCACCTGCCTACTTACCGTCCTAGGCAAGACGGATACGTCATCCTTTCAGTTCTCCCTTCCAAAATTCGACATGCCATCCAGTCATTGTCAGAACCCTGGCCCGGTTTTTCACGCGGTACCTGTCGGAATGCAAAGTACTCACTTCGTGGAAAACTAGCAAGACCGTGTTGTTGTATAAGTAGGGAGATCCAGACGACATTGGCAATTACCCCCCGATTTGCCTGCTGTCTGTAATCTATGAACTCTTTGCACGAGTCATCCTTAACAGAATCGGCAGAATTTTAGATGAAGGACAGTCATGCGAGCAAGCAGAATTTCGGAGAGGGTTCAGTACTGTCGATCAAATCCACACCGTTACAAGACTCATTGAAGTATCGTGGGAGTACAAAATGCCGTTATGTCTTACGTCCATCGAACGTTTGAAAAAACGTTTGAAGGAAGCCCTTTGTGTCGTCGAGACAGAAGCGGTAATTGAAGCCCTGAACAACCAGGGTGTTCCTACTCAGTATGTGAGAATGTTTCGTGAGCTTTACAACAAATTCACGACCAGGATTTCGCCATTCTATAAAGAGGTCGTCATCATCGTGGAGAGAGGGATTCGAAGGGCTATACTGCTTCGCCCAAACTCTTCAGTCATAGAGAGACTCATACGTCACATGGCATGGGAAAGCATGGGAGTGAAGGTCGACGGCCGCTACTAAAATCATCTCCGCTCTGCAGATGACATCGTGCTTATAACACCCAACATCGAGCACGCGAAGGAAATGCTGGCCAATTTCGACAACGCTTGCGGAAAGATCGAATTACGACTGAACCTAACGAAGACGAAGTTTATGCGAAACGGGTTGGTACCTGATGCTCCTTTTGCGCTGAACGGAAGGAATGCCTGAATGCTCCAGGTATATGCTCTAGGTTGGGAAGTCAATGTGATGAACGACTTAGCTTCGGTGCTGAGCAGACGGAACGCGCGGCGTGGGGAGCGTTTAAGAACATCGAGGGAGTAGTGAAGAAAACGAAGAACTTCCGGCTCCGCGCTCACTTATTCGATACTGCGGCTCTTCCTGCTTTGACATATGCCTCAGAGACTTGGACTCTACGGAAGCAGGCTGAGCATGCAGTTATCGTCATTCAACGCGCTGTGGGAAGGCGATGCTCGGAATTTCCCTATACACGCAAGTGCAGAAGCGAATCCGGAGTTCCGAGCTCCGTCGACGAACGAAGATCAGGGATGCCGTTGAATGCGCTAAGAAATCGAAAATCAGGTAAGCCGGGCACGCCATGCGATAGGATGATGGCCGTTGGACCAGAGCGGTTACGGACTGGATCCCTCGGAACGTCAAGCGAACACCAGGACCACCGCCAACGAGATGGTCAGATTTCTTCACGAAAGCTTTGAACGGAAGGAATGTTTTGCGTCGTGCCCCTCGAGCGAGTACGATTCACTGAACTACCCTGGCTCGCGACAGGGACGAATGGAGACGTTACTAGCGCCCGCTCAAGGCAATCGACGATCAACGGGAGTGCGGGTTATGTAGATGATACCTTGTCGATAGTGATGGTGCATATAATATCAGTTATTAGTTGTCGTAAAGGAAAGAATCAAAATAAAAAAATTGCGAGAGGTTCAAAGACTTTTCCGCCAACGTAAATCGTGAACGTGCGAAGGACCAAGAATCCCGGTAACACCCAACATTGGGTTCCATTGTCCCGTGGCGACAGTGAAAAGCAGCTGGACAACTTCGGCTCGAAAAAGTCAGCTCAAAATCAGCGGCTGAAATCTGAAATCCGAAAACCCTTCCATGTCATTTCCGTGAAGCTCCACCCGTAGAACCTCTACACCCAATATTTCGGAAAGCCTTGTTTTTCGCGATTTAGGCTGATTTTCTCCTTTTGCGCCACCAACCTACTATTTTTGACCAATACCTCCACATTTCAACTTGAGAAGGGTGCTTAAAAATTATCGTGAACTGTGCCTACAAGTTTGTTCCCCTTCTTGGATGAACAGTTTTCGTAACATAGTAATGCAGCCCAGGTGAGATAGTATTCTTTTGCTAGTAGAGCTGCGATCGTTAGAAAACCTCCTGTTGAGACTCATAATCTATCATTCACTATTTGTTTTACGTAGTTTTAGTTACATAGGCCACGACAATATCAAATACTTACTGACTTTATTACATGCTTTTGGCATATTAACAACTTAGGTTTCTAAAAAGAGAAAAAAACATGCGATAAAACAGAAGAAAGTAAAAGTGTTATCAGCTTAAATACGGAGAACATGATACTATGCTAATGACCGGAACGCAGACAATGAGATACCTCGATTTTGAACGTAGGAAAGAATACTGGCACTGGGATTAGTTTACTCATTTTCAAATACTCCATGCCTGCACGAAACGTGAAGAACCTGCGCCCAACCGACGAACGCGGCTTTCGAAAAGTAAGCTTGTGTAAGGGAAGTAAATGGAAGTATCTACTCCAATATCCGATATCAAGGGTATAACGCTCCCGTAAATTTTGAGGAAGTCAGCAAACATTACCACCTTAACATCGAGATCGTCTATCAAAGAAGGCATATCGAAAGTGAAGGTGCTGAAGAAAGCAGGCGACAGAACGCTTCCTTAAGAAGCTCCGCTCGGGGCATTCCTAACCTCCGACAAAGAAGCGTTAATCATGACTTAAAAGGTGTGCTGCTTAAGGAACTCCTCAACACACTAGATTATTCGGTAATAGATGTCGATTCGCGCTACCTTTTTGAGCAAAGTGGTATGGACGACCTTATCAAGCTCGTTTTTGAAATCAGAGTGCAAAAAGCCCAAGTTATGCAACATGTCACGAAGTAAAGTCAATCTTTCAGATTCCAAAATTGCCGTTATGAAAGAGAGAAAACGGCTTTTTCAAAGGCACCGTTCACGATAAAACAGTTTCTGACCCTCCTAGGAATTCCCAGTGGCTTCCGAGGGTACCTAAGAATGCCGTCGAGTTCCAAAACTCAACGATTAGGGCATAGTGGGAGTCCAGTTACCGGACTGCCCGGACTTCCCGGCCTTCGATCAATTTCACGTCAGACGAGTGTCGAGACAATACAGATTGCAATATCCGCTCTAGGACCCACATACAATCAGCCGATCGCCGAATGATGAGGCGATGCTTTTCTCCTATTTTATTATTCTCCGTTAGTTTACTGCTCCTGCAACCCTTATTTAATTTTCTCCCCAAAAGGCTGAAAAGGTTGGGCTATTTTTGCTGTGACTAAGGTTTTTGTTAACTCATGCTTATGAGTGAATGAATTTTTGCTTACCGTAGTCAGCTATTTGCACCAGTACCCACGCGTATGCAATGACACACATTGTATAGCTCGTTCAAACGCCCCATCCTTCTTCATTTTTCTGGCCTCATTCTCATCCAGCCCCCTTTTTAATGGTTTTTCGAAGCCTTTTTTACTTTTTAAACACCAACTCATGCAGCTCCTTCTCCTCCATCGCACTATTTTCCATCTTATCTTCCATTTTGTCATAATCTGGGTTACAAAAAATTATCGTGAACTGTGCCTTTAGGAAACAACTGCTTACTGAATTATCGCAAATTGTGCCTTCAACGATCTTTTCGAAAGGCCTACAAAATACTAAGGTAATGATGATAGGTCTGCAGCTCTGAGGGTTACAGAAGAGGGGTTTCTCCTTTATTGAGATAACGTAAGTGAGAAGAACGCTCATAGGGTTCTGGGCTACTACTGAAGGTAGGCGTAGGTGGTATAACAGCTGTGATTGGACCCATCATTGCCGAAAATTCGTGTAAACAAAGAAATGAAGACAAAAAAGGAAGCTCTGATGGACAGTTTTTCCGAGATTTTGTTTGAAAATTCGTTCACTCTTCAATGCCTAGCCTGCAACGATTACAGATTAGAGAACATGGACAAGGAAAGAGCAAGATAAAGTTTTAAGGCGTTGTTAAATTCTTTCCGAGAGACACACCTCCGCATTCGACTTTCAGTAAGAGTTGTAGAAGCGGTCTGAATGCGTATGTAGCCTCTACAATAAGTTACTGTGGCCATTCGGTGTACAAGTCAGAGTTTTCATCCTTCCGGACGAATGCGGTACTAATTTAACCAATCCCCGAGGGATAAGAGGCTTCGTTGGCCTGAGCGGATTTCGATCCGGGATTCAACCTGACAAGTTCTTGGTCCCCTCTAAGATTTAGACACGGTTTTTTATCGAAAGCCATAACAAGCAGCTTAGCAAAACTCTTTCCTAAAATGTCTCCACACACTTATTGCCCTCGACAGTTCTTGGTCTAGCGGTACAAAAATTGAGGGCTACTGGAGCAGCGGTTCCCAACTTATGGCTCCTCTGCATCCTTTCTGCTACGTTTCATGCTCATAAGCCACAGATGTCTGCCCCCATCTCACCACATGCCAGAGCACGTTTGAGCGTGGACAAGCATCATGGCACTCCCTTCTACTCAGAGCAAAATTTCATTATGTCAAGACCATCACCATATCCTAGTAGCACTCAAGGAAAAATGGCTACAATGGATTGATTGTAGCTGCCGTTTTCGAGAAGAGAGGAACTGCTGATGACGTTTACTCGGAACTGGGTAAATAAAGGTATGCCTCTTGAGCAAATTATTCGTGGCCGTTATTTTTTTTNTTTTTTTTCTTAAGCGTCATACGCATGTTTCTACAGTTTGGTCCAAAAAACACTGTTTCGATATCCGCTACATCCCTATAAATATGGAACCAAACCAAAAAGAACATTCTCTCGTTTCAGTTATTTTCATATGTTCAGTGCTTCGCACAATTGCAGACCCACCTGAGAAACGCTTCGAAATTTGCGTTGGGAATGTTTCTGAGAAAACTCTCAGAAGAAAATTGAGCTCGTTATGGGTAGTTGGTATCGACACTTAGAATGCTGTAGATAATGAACATAAATTCTCTCAAGTTTTCGTTGAGAATAATCCCATGATTCGAAACAAAGGATCTTTTCTGGGGAACTCATACTTATGCAAACCGGTATACATATCTTTC